GATGCGGCTTTACGTGTCGGCTTCGACTATGTTGTTGAGGAATTGGCGGCCAGGAACGAAACCTCGTTGGATACTCGACACTTGCTTGACTATCGGATGGAGCTTGCGGTTGATGGCGGAGGCAGCAATCTTTACGTCGGTGTTCTTCATCGCGAGAGGGCGGAGTTGGTCTGGCGACCGATGGCATTCAGAGTGTCCTGCAGGCGCATCACCTTTTGGAAGCATGGCGAGTAGTGCGTGGTTCCAATCGTGCGGGATGATGTTGTTGACCGAGATGTTGGCCACGAGCTCTTCCAGGATCTCGAAACTGTTGGGAGTGGACGTCCAAGCTTTGTAAGGGAGACCGTCAGGACCTGCGGCGGAGTCATGTGCTCGTTTTGCTGCGTCTTGTAGTTCTTCAGCGTTGGGGAGTTCCAGCGCGACAGAGTCGCGCTGGGCGAAGACAGAGTCCAGGTCAACGTTCATGTTGGCGATGTTCACTGGTTTGTCAGCGGAGATCGGGCCCAAATGTGCTAGAATAGCGTCGTGCATGTCCGACGGCGTCTTGGCAATGCCGGAGGAGCTGCTTTGCGAAATTCGGATACCAGCGAGCACCAGACGCTTGGAGAAAGGCTTCCACAGCTCACCAAGTCTGCGTGAGGCACTGGCCCGTTTCCGCCACCTGTCCCCTTGTTGACGCTGTAGACGTTGATAAGCATCACGGGCGCGTGCGGCAGCGAGGGCGCGACGTTCTTCAGCGACAGCAGCATGAGCTCCAGCGGCGGCATCTGCGAAGGCGTTGGTGTTGATAAGGCAAACCTTGCTCGAAGGGATGTCGGTGGAGTTGTCGATGATGATCTGCAAGTGCTTGGAGCCCAGGTGGGTGGTGTCGATAAGGAGGCGCGCGAGCTTGATGTCCTGGTACCAGACCGCGCGCGAGATGCTTCTCATGGTCATCGAGTTGACTTCCTTGGAGATCGAGAGGTGGTCGCGTGCAAGAACTTCAGGCGGTAGCCGCGCAAGAGCATCTCGCGTGGCTTTCGCAGCGTTCGTCATGTTGGATTTCAGCGTGCGCCACTTGATGATGGGCGCGAGCGTGTCGTACTCGGTGTCGGCGGAGAGCTTGTCGATGAAGAGCTTGTAGAAGTCGGAGTCGAAGAGGTAGGCGGGGATGCCTCGTTCAGCACGGGGCCGTTGAATTCGGGGGCGGAATCGAACATGAAGAAGTTTATGGTCACTGGCAGGTGTTCCCTTTCGTTCGAGTGGCGAGTCGTCGGCAACCATGATCGTCTCAATGTGGGTGAGATTGTGTGCCAGGAAGGAGGTGAAGAAGCGATCGACGCTCGACTCGGTGTTGTTCGCGTAGCAGCGGTGGGTGGTGGATGGCGTGCAGATCTCGACCAGCGGTCGGAAGATCTGCTTCCAGAAGGTGGGCTGGAACTGGTATCGCTCGTGAGCAGGCACTTCGACAGGGCGTAGTAGATTGCGAGCGGGTAGTTCAGAGATATTGAAGTCGCCGAGCATGAAGAACATCACGTGTTCAGGACCGTTGTTAGCTTCATTCAGTGCCACTTGCCACGTGGGCTTGAGCCGTCTTCGGTCATCTGCGGAGAGATCATGGTTATGAATGTTGAGGTAGATGGAGGTACGCCAGGCTGGGGTCGCGGATGCGCAGCTCGGCAACTCGGCCAGGGACGACCACGGAGAAGTTGATCAACGACTTGGTGTTGTCCTGGTCGCTGCTGGGGACGAACTTTGGGATGAGGAAGGCGACGCCGCCCGCCGCATTGGAGTCGGGGATGCCGCTGTGGTAGACGTCGTACTTTACGCCCGTGGAGTTGACGAGGCTGTGAATCATCTGCGAGGTGCCGTGTGTCTCCTGAATGGCAATGAGGGAGCGCCGGCGAGGTAGGGCTTGAGGATGGAGAGTTTGGCGTCGCGCTTGACGATGTTCGAGTGTACCAGCGCCTGGGCGTTCCAGCTGACCACCGAACATTCGGTCGTGGATGATGCGGTAGTCGCGTTCTATGGAGTCCACTTGCTGTTAAATCCACGACACTGACGTGGCTGCGTCCGCGAAGGCGGCGGCAAGGGCGTCGGCACAAGAAGGCCGCATCGCAGGAGTGAGGCCGACGCCATCAGCAGCATCAGACCATTGGATCTTGGTCGCAATCTCAGGGCGGGAGCCCACTTGGATGCGGACGATGGGCACGTTGTCGATGGAGAGGTAGCCGTCGGCGCGGTGGATCTTGGGGTTGAGGTCCTGCTTGGCGTTGTTGACAATCCTTGCCAGCTTCTTGAGCTGGATCTCCTGCCTGACGAGCTTGGGGCTCTTGTCTGCGCTGACGTAGCATGGGGCGCCACCGATCGTGAAAGTACGCCATTCCCGACCAATGCGCAGGTGATGGTGAAGAGCTTGAGCACGAGGTACAGCGACAGCATCGGCTCCGAGTACAGTGATGGAAACACGTTTGGCAGGAGCGGAGTTGTTGTAGCGTACCATAGACACGTCGATATTGGCTGCCGAAAACCATTCGGCGGTGGCTGACTTGAGAGATGCTTGTGTGATGTCCACGGTGGAGGCGATCCAAAAGGTGCCGATGTGTGGTGCCCTGTCCCACGATCCGATGTTGATGACGTCGAGCGAGGGAACCTGGGCTTCAGCATGGGCAATGGCAGTCTTGATCTTGTCCACCGCGTCGTTGAGGTTCTTGGATTCCACTTCGGAGGCGGAGATGCGCTGCTTGAGGGAGACGATATCGTTCTCGACGTGGTCTTGGCGTTCGGTGAGCTTGGCTGTGATGTTGGTGATGTGCGTGATGAAGCTGGCTTGAGACGAGGCGGCGACTTTCTCTGCGGTAGCCTTGAATTGTTCAGCCGCGTCAGCAACCTGAATGGCCAGATGTTTCTCGATCTCGGAGCGGAATTGGTCAAGTCTTTCTTTTTGTGCTGCATCTTGCCAGGGGTCTTTGTTGTTACGAGGGCTTCGTTCGCGACGATCACGAATGGTGGCGAGGTCGTTCGTCTCGGGCATGTTGGGAGCACGCTGTGGACCACCTGGTCTGGACTCTCGAACACCAATATGGAGGTGGCCGCGGCACCACAAAAAATCAATCCCGCGTGGATATGTAAGGAGAGCGTAAAGGCAATCCTGAGCTGGCCCTGGAACAAGGGTATGCCGTGTAAGCCTCTTGGCGCTATGCCAAGCAACATTGGGACCTTGAGCCAAAATGGCTACGGAGGGAGGAGGAGGAGGAGGAGGAGGAGGAGGAGGAGGAGGAGGAGGAGGAGGAGGAGGAGGAGGAGGAGGAGGAGGAGAGGAGGAGGGGGAGGGGGAGGGGAGAGGAGGAGACGGAGGAGGAGGAGGAGGAGGAGGAGGAGGAGGAGGAGGAGGAGGAGGAGGAGGAGGAGGAGGAGGAGGAGGAGGAGGAGGAGGGAGGAGGAGGAGGGAGGAGGAGGAGGAGGAGGAGGAGGAGTGGAGGAGGAGGAGGAGGAGGAGGAGGAGGAGGAGGAGGAGGAGGAGGAGGAGGAGGAGGAGGAGGAGGAGGAGGAGGACGGGAGGACGGGTCGCCTAAGCCCTTCGGAGAAACCCTCCAGCCATCAGCGCCCATCCAATGCCCACGTGGCGGACTTTCCGCGCGCTAGGACCATCCAGCCGCCACGCCGCGCACGCGGCGCCGCCCGAGCCCACGAGCAGGGGCAGCGCCGCAGGACCGCGAGGCACCGGTGCCCAGTGATTTTCGCTGCGGAGAGGGGAGGCGGAGGCGAGAGGAGAGGGCGCAACGATCATAATGCCGATCCAGTCCTCTCTGTCCTTCCAGCGTGGGGGCCCCGGCGCGGGAAGAGGGGCGGCACGAGTTACCACACCAAGCGTATCACCGGAGGGGTCCGATGCAGCAACGCAGCTGGCGGTGATGATGAGTATCGTTTAACCGACCTCCATCCTCAGCAGCTGGCCTGGGCCCCACTGGCCGATTTACCCCCCCCTTAGATGGGATACAGGTCGTTCCCTGCGGGTTTCACGGGGTGCATCCCCAACTGGGGTGGTAATCTGGTGGGGGTCTCAGAGGGGATGGGGATGGGGATCGGCTAAACGATGCTGAGGTGAAGTTGGGGCGGGGGCGCCCCTCAAACTTGGCCAAGCGCGTGGCGAACAGCGCGGCCCGCGGCGCGGCCTCGTGGGCCGGCTGGCGGGGCGCGGAGTGAGGCGGCGCGCTGGGGCCGAGGGCGAGTGCCAGGGAGCGGGTGCCAGCGCAGCACGCGCAGCAGCGGCAGCCAACGAGGAGCCAGAAGAGCAAGCTGACCCGGTGGGTCTCGGCCCGCGGCGGTGGCCTCGAGGTTCTCGACGAAGGCCGGAGCGCGCCGGAGCGAGGGGCCAGGCTCACCGGTCCGCAGCACGTCAAGCGTGCGCCAAGTGTCGCGGCTGTCTGTGCGGTCCCCCAGCAGCTGCAGCCAATCCGCCCACCTCGGGAAGGCGTGGGCGGCCGCTCTGGTGGTGGAGGCGGCGGCCACGTGCGCCCAGCGAGCGCAGCGCGGCCCACCCCACTGCTCGAGCTGCGCCCACGCGCCAAGAAAAAAAAGACCGAGCGGACGGCGAAACACTTGAGCGGCAAGCTCGGGTTGGAGCACTTCCGCGGTTGGCCAGCAGAACTGCGCGACGTACGAAAGGGTGATGACGGCGTGGCGGTTGTACAGAATCGCCGAGAGGCTGGCAGGCGCGGTTCCTCTGCCGAGGGCTTGAGCTCCTCCTCCTCCTCCTCCTCTTCTTCTTCGTCTTCTTCTTCTTCTTCTTCCTCCTCCTCCTCCTTCTCCGCTTCCTCTTTCCTCCTCCTCCCCCTCCTCCTCCTCCTCCTCCTCCGCTTCCTCTTCTTCTTCCTCCTCCTCCCTCCTGCCTCCTCCTCCCTCCTTCCTCCTCCTCCTCCCTTCCTCCTCCTCCTCCTCCTCCTCCTCCTCCTCCTCCTCCTCCTCCTCCTCCTCCCTCCTCCTTCCTTCTCCTCCCTCCCCCCTTCGAGGGCGCGCGCCGTGATCTCCCGCACGAGGCCCTCCTCGTTCAGCGCGGGCCCCTCCTCCGAGTCGGAGGCCCGCCCCTGCGCCGCGGGCGCGCGCGGGCCCTGGGCCCCCTGGCACCGAAACCTCAAGAGGAAAGGAAAGGTGGACCTGGGCCTCCTGCTCCGCCTCCTCCCTGGCCTCCCCTCCCACTCCTCCTCCTCCTTCCCTCCTCCTCCTCCTCCTCCTCCTCCGCCTCCTCCTCCTCCTCCTCCTCTTCCTCCTCGTCCTCTTCCTCCTCTTCCTCCTCCTCCTCGTCCTCCTCCCCGTCCTCGTCCTCGTCCTCGTCCTCGTCGTCCTCCTCCTCCTCCTCGTCCTCCTCCTCCTCCTCCTCCCTCCTCCCGCCTCTCTCCTTCCGCCCTTCTCATCCTGTTGGTGCTCTTCCCCCTTCCTCCCTCCTCCGCTCCTCATCGTCTGGTCAAAGTCGTCCTCCTCCTCCTCCACCTCCTCCTCCTCCTCCTCCTCCTCCTCCTCTTCCTCCATTCCTTCTCCTGTCGCGCCCCGAGGCCGGTCGAAAGGTCGGCCCAGGCCTGTCGCTGGAGAGCTCATAACCACTGATGGCCCGGAAGCTGAAACGTTGACAGCAGTTTCACAAATTGTTGGCGGGGGCCGCTTTCAACATGTGGCTCTCGCCGTAGCGCCGCGCACACTCGCTTCACATTTGCAAGAGGTTCTCATATTCAGGACGGCTCCTTTTCGAAATGTGGTTCTCGCCCTAGCGCCGCGCACATCCGTCCGTAAAATTTGGGGAGCTTCACGGATTGAAGGCGATTTCCGTTTCAACATGTGGCTCTCGCCTTCGCGCCGCGCGCACTCGTCTTCAACATGTGCAAAGGTTTGGCGGATCGAGAACGGGTGGTCTCGAAAATGTGGCTCTCGCCTTGGCGCCGTCTTAAACATCTGCAGGAATTCCACTGGTTCCCAAGGTTAACGTACCAGAAACGGCGTTTTGGAACGATTCAGCCTGTAAGGGCGCGATCGTTACGTTGACTCGCAATATTGAAGTCCCGGAAAATGGTCTTCTGGCGCGATTCGGGAACATCGAGGCGTAACAATCAGATTTATTCGTGGCGTTGAAGTCCAGAGAATGGTGTCCTGGTGCGCTTCAGGATCTTCAAGCGGTTGTCTCCCAACGGGGCGTTTCCCCAATTGAAATAAATCCTTGCAGGGGCCTGTGAAGAGGGAGCTCGGGGGAAGGGGTTATTCCAACATCATTGATGACTAGTGGGGTTGCACTGGTCCTCCTCCTCCTCCTCCTCATCCTCCTCCTCCTCCTGCGCTTGCCCCCAACGTTCGTCAGCCTCTTTGGCTCAAGCCGTTCTGGCTCAGGTTCTGCCCTGAGCTTGCAAGCGCGTGCTTCAGAGCGGCCCGTGCCTGCGAGCCACACCGAGCCGCTCCACGAGCTCGTCTGCAGCCCGCAGCTGCGCACGGGCCCTCCGCCCGATGCCCTGCCTGGCGCGACGGCGCCCTGGGTGCGGCTGCTGCGGCAACACGACGACAACGCCGACGCCGACGCCGATGCCGGCGCCGACACCGGCGCCGACGCCGGCGCCGACGCCGACGCCGACGCCGACGCCGACGCCGACGCCGACGCCGACGCCGGCGCCGACGCCGACGCCGACGCCGACCACGACGACGACGACGACGACGACGACGACGACGACGACGACGACGACGACGAGGACGAGGCCGACGACGACGACCGGACTTCGCGCATCGCACGCCGCCAGGTGCGGGGCAGCGGCGCCGGGCAATGTCACCTAGGCGGCCACAGCGGCGGCCGTGGCTGCAGGACCTCGCGCGCCTCGGGCCCGGGGGCCGGCAGGCTCGTGGGCAGGACTCCAGGCGCATCGTCGTCGAGCGCCAGGCCCAGGCCGCCAAGCCTTCAGAGGTGCCCCCGCCGAACGCCACGGGCACCTCACCGCCGCGGGCGCGACGGCGGTCTGGGAAGGCGTCCCGAGCGTACAAGTCCTCGCCAGCACCCGTTCACGGCCGACTACCAAGTTCCAGGACGTTCGGTGCACGCGGAGATTGGTCTCAGTATCCAGCGGGCGTGGCTCCGCTGACGATGCGAGGTGCCGACTGGGAATTTCAAGACTTCTCTCATATCGTAGCAGATTCCGGGGCGGAATGTGAATTTCTGAAGTTGACCCCTTCTGAAGATTCGGGACCAGCTTCGTCAGGGGGCTGTTCGAGGTTCACATAGGGGCGCCCTGGGACGTCAAGGTAGGGATGAGCGTCTGCCAACTCCCCTGTGTGTCGGACGGGGCTTCGGAACCTTTGTGGCAGTAAGTGACTACCTACCAGACCACCCCAACCCAACCCAACCCGAAGACCCGAATTTCGGGTTGGGGGGGTAAGGGTTCCACGCGTGTTTTTTCGATGTTCCCCGACCCCCCCCCACTGGAAATCGACGGTAAATTTGAGCCTTCGGGTTGGGTTGGGGTGGTTTGGTGGGTGGTGAGTAAGTCTCAAACGCGGTCTAAGCAGCACCAGAAGTGCTTGCAGATATTGATTTCGAACGTTCACTGGCTTCAACCCCGCCCTCATGCTCTTAAGCTGCACCCCGGCAGCGTCTGCCAGGCACGTCGAGGGGCCTCTGGGACACTTTGGCATCGTATCGTCCGGGTGTCCTGCTCGCGCTGCTCCTCGAGGGGGCTGTGCAGGAACCGAGCCTGAAGGGAGGGCTTGCAGGGTCGGCGAGCGAGGCTAGGCCACGAATGAGAGGCTCGCCACGTGCGTGCTCCCGCGATCGCTCGGACGTCCATCCCCCGTGCACGTGTCGGCTTCCTGCGTGCGCTTTCCCGCAGGATGGTGCACGGTGCCCCTCGAGGGCCCTCGCCGAGGGCAAGCTGCACACAGTCCGGGCGGCGCCAGGTGTGGCCCGACCCCAGGAGCCGCGCGCACCCGGGCCCCTGGGCTCGCAGCTGGCCTCCCGACGTGGCGCACACAGCGCAGGGCAAGCTGCACACAGGCCGTGCGACGTCAGGTGTGGCCCGACCCGAGGGGCCGCGCGCACCCGGGCCCCTGGGCTCGCAGCTGGCCTCCCGACGTGGCGCACACAGCGGGCACCTCGCCCTGGCGGCGCCCGCCTGCCCGCACGGGGAGGCGGCGAGTGCTGCCCCGCCTGCGGCCAGCACGACGACGCCGACGAAGGCGGCAACGACGACAACGAGACGACGACGACGACGACGACGACGACGACGACGACGACGACGCCGATGACGACGACGACGACGACGACGACGACGACGACGACGACGACGACGACGACGTCGAGGGAGAGGCCTCGCTGGCTGTTGCCCGCCTGCCCCGCCAGCCGGCGCTGCGACGAGTCGTGGCGCGGTGTCGTCTGCACTGCGCCACCCTGAGAAGGGGGAAGGCGTGCTCGGTGCCCTCGCCCCGCCCTGAGCATCGTGCATCCGACCCCCATCCCCAGCGGCGCGGCCCGGGCCCCACTGGCCGATTTGCCCCCCGAGATGGGCGTCTAGGCCGTCCCCTTCGGGCCTCGAGGGGTGTAACTCCGACTGGGGTGGCAATTTGGCGGGGGCCTCGAGGGGGGATGAAGATGGGGATGGGGTTCGGTTCAACGATGCTGACGCCCCCCCCCCCGACCAGGTGAAGGAGTTTGGGGCAGGACCGTCGCTGGTCGTGCAGCCCCCCCCCAGAAGAGCCCCCCCGTGAGACGGGCCTCGGCAGGCCCGTCCTCTGTCGTGCGCTCGCCTCCTAGTGGCTCGCGCTGGCTCGCGCCGTCCCCGGGGTCCCCAGCGGGGGAGGCTCGAGCTCGCCGAGGGCAGGAGCCGGAGGGCCCGCGCCAGTGTCGATTGGTGGTGCGTGGCGCCTTCCGGGCAAGGTCGCGCCTCCTTCTCCTCCTCTCCTCGCTCCGTTTTCCTCCTCCTCCTCCTCTTCTTCTTCCTCCTCCTCTTCCTTCCTTCTCCTCCTCCTCCTCCTCCTCCTCCTCCTCCTCCATTTCTCCTCTTCTCCTCTTCTCCTCTTCTCCTCTCTTCTCCTCCTCCTCCTCCTCCTCCTCCTCCTCCTGCTCCTGCTCCTGCTCCTGCTCCTGCTTCTGCCCCTCCTCCTCCTCCTCTCCCTCCCTCCTCCTCCTCCTCTCCTCCTCCTCCTCTCCTACTCCTCCTCTCCTCCTTCCTTTTCCGCCTCAGCCTCCTCCGCCCTCCTCCTCCTCCCTCTCCTGCTCCTCCTCTGCTCCTGCTCCTGCTCCCTCCTCCTCCTCTCTCCTACTCCTCCTCCTCCTCCTCCTCCTCCTCCTCCTCGGCGGCTCGGTGGCTCTGAAAGTCTCCCGCACAGCCTAAGGCCACAGGGAAACAAAAAGGTAGCGGGGATCCCCCCATCCACCTCTGACCCCGTGCTGTCCTGGGCAGGACCTCTCTTCCTCCTCCCTTCTCCCTTCACTTCCTCTTCCCACCTACGCCCTCCTCCTCTTCCCTCCTCCTCATCTCTCCTCCTCCATCCTCCTCTCTCCTCCCCTCTCCTCTCTCCTGACTTTCCCTCCTGCTCTATCCTCCTCCCTCCCCTCCTCCCCTTTCCTCCTCCTCCTCCTCCTCCTCCTCCTCGTCCTCCTCGTCCTCCTCCTCCTCCTCCTCCTCCTCTTCTCCTCCTCCTCCTCCTGCTCCTCCTCCTCCTCCTCCTTCTACGTCTTCCTTTCTGCCGCCGCCGCCGCCGCCGTCATCGTATGTCATCGTCGTCGTCGTCGTCGTCGTCGTCGTCGTCATCGTCACTGTTGTCGTCCACCTTTGAGAGGTGCGCCTTTGGTCTGACCTCGCCCGCCGCGAGCGCCATCGACGCGGCGATCGGCAGGTTCGCCTGGAGCAGCTTGGCCTGGGCGCCGAGGGTAGGCGGGAAAGAGGGGAAAAGAGAGGAGGAGGAGGAGGAGGAGGAGGAGGAGGAGGAGGAGGAGGAGGAGGTAGGAGGAGGAGGAGGAGGAGGAGGAGGAGGACGGAGAGATATGAGAGGAGGAGAGGAGGAGAAGAGAAGGAGAGGAGGAGGAAGAGGGAGGGATGAGGAGAAGGAGGAATGAGGAGGAGGAATAGGAGGAGGAGGAGGGGAGGGAGGAGGAGGAGGAGGATGAGGAGGAGGAGGAGGGGGTAGGAGGAGGGCGAGGAGGAGGAGGAGGACCAGACGAGCCCTCTGTGTGCGGGTCTGGGTGAACTACTTTTGCAGAGTACTACAGAGCACTAGTGTCGGGGGAGGAGGAGGAGGAGGAGGGGAAGAGGAGGAGGGGGAGGAGGAGGAGGAGGATGGGGAGGAAGGAGGGGGGAGGAGGAGGAGGAGGAGGAGGAAGGAGGAGGAGGAGGAGGAGGAGGAGGAGGAGGGCGAGGGAGGAGGAGGAGGAGGAGGAGGGGAGGAGGAGGAGGAGGAGGAGGTGGAGGAGGTGGAGGAGAGGAGGTGAGGAGAGGGAGGAGGGGGGGGAGGAGCGGGAGGAGGGATGATGGATAGAGTGGAGGGGGGGGGAGGGGGTCAGGGAGCGGGAAGAGAAGAGGAGATACGGCGAAGGTGCGGAGGAACAGTGCAGGAGGAGGAGGACGAGGAGGAGGAGGAGGAGGAGGAGGAGGAGGAGGAGGAGGAGGAAGACCCGAGCAAACACAGGATGCATCACCGGTGCTGCAAGACACACACACACACCGCCCCTTAAGTCCCCTCCATAGAAGCCCCTGGAAAGCCCTCCTTGAGTGACGGGCGCCGTGTGGACCTGCCACGCAAGCGAGACTCCCGTTTTGTGCAGGACCTACCCGTCATCGTTTGAGCCATAACAACCGGCAGAAAGGTAGCACGAAAAAGATCAGATACGTATTCCGCGGTAGCCCTGCTTCGGAAAGGATCTGCCCTCCATCTGTGTTCTTGCTGTGAAAGTTCAAAGAGTAAGGGGCCCAGGGACACGCAGACAAATATTCCAGGATTCCCTGTAGTTTCCAAGCTTTCCTGGGTTTTCGTTTCCCCCCCACTTCCCAAATGTTTTTATTCTATTTCCCTGGGGATTGACGATTAACTGTGCCTGTGTGTTTTCTTATCTCCTGAAAGGAACTGGTCATATCCGTTTCGGAAGAATTAAGCGATAGCCCCATGGTGAAATCGAGGCAACCACCATCCAGGTGCACATTGCACGAGTCGGAACTTCGATCCAAATTCGATGGAGGTCCCAAGCAGCAACCGAAATTTGAAAACGAACCGGCCTCCATCCGCGTAGCTGCTCATGCCTTTTCAACGAATGTGCGCGGCCTGGGGCGAAAACCGCATGTGAAAGCCGTCCGTCCGTGCAACTGTTGCTGTTGAGCGCGACTGTGCGCCGGCCAAGGCGCGACCCACATTTTGAACATGAGCCAGGCTTCACCCTGGCAGCGGTGGGAAAATCGAAAAACCAAATGTCAACAAGCGGTCTGCACGTATATTGTGTGAGAACTGCATGTTCACAGGGCGCTAGTGCGCGTCGCCAGGGCAAGAGCCGCATGCTGGAAGCCACGCCGTGAAAGCTGCAGCCCTGGGGCTCCAGGACGGCAGGCGGCAAAAAGGAGTCTCAAGCGAGCGGCGCGGCCTGGCCAGCGGACAAGTCTGCTGGTGCGACAGAGGGGCGATATTCGGAGGAAAGAGGGACGGAGGAGGAGGAGGAGGAGGAGGAGCAGGAGGAGGAGGAGGAAGAGAAGGTGGTGGATGAGGAGCTCTGTGCCAATCTCCTGCCCCCTTGCCCCACTCCCACCCATCCCCCGCATGGAGCTACTGTCGTTCATCCATGGGCCTCTTCATGTGAATGCCATCCTCCCACGTTCCACCTGATCCAAATCCCTACTCGGTTACCGGACCCCCCCCCGTTGCTGCTCCTCCTTCTCAACCCGTTGCGTTCATCCCTGCTTCGTCGCGTTCATCCCTGCTCTTCGTCGCGTCGTGCTTCGTCGCCTCGTCCCTGCCCACACTGCTCTTCGTCGCGTTCATCCCTGCTCCTCCCTGCGCGTTGACATCCTCTCCCCGCGGCGCTCGCATGCCAGTCGGGAAAACGGGATCGATACACTGAACCGCACGGCGCCCCGACCTGGGTCGCACCGCCACGTCGCGGGCTCCGGCCATCCGAAACCCAAAAATGTGCGCATCTCTGGGGCGACTATTTCCCAACCATCCTGTGGTGTTGGGTCCTCATTTTGAAGGGTTCGTATGGCGGCCCTGCCCAATTTCGGCGCACCCATCACACGCTTCGTGGCTACATAAGGAGCTCCACCGCAGGCGCAGTGGCAGGGCTCGCATGGCGGCCCCGCCCCATGTGGACACACCCCTCACACGCTTCGTGGCCCAATAGTCCCCCAATCGCAGATGGTTGGGCCTTTCGCCAGGATAATTCGTGTTCCGCCAGCGTCCGCCAACGGACCACCCCTGGCTTTGCGTCCGCTGGCTTCCCGCCACCTTCCCGCCGATGAAGGGACGCCGCCTCCGACCCCCCTCGATCCCCCGAAGGCGAGGAGGCCCTGTCCGGA